CGTGATCTCATCCATGCCATAGCTGGACTATATTCATCTACACTACAATCAATGGAACTGGAAACAATCTATGACGGTCTGGAACGCAAAGATAGTTTCACTGTCATTTTTTATTCCGATCCCAATCAGGCTTTACAATGTGCCATAGATCGTATCCTATTCAAGGTAAGTGATATGTTGTTGCTCCACGTTGACCTATACAAATTTGTGAAGTAGGAGAACGAGGAGCAAAGTAAGAAGAGAAGTGTCAACATGCGCCGTTTGAGATCCGCACTAGAGAAGCGTGCCGTACCCGTGCACGAGTGTTCCACCAATAATCAGGCCCCATTACACATGGAGCAGACCAATCTTGATAGGGAAAACGCTAATCAACATGCGGACGATACAAGCGAGCACAACAGTTCGGATAGTGAACATGAATTTCATCTGGTCTACTCAAGCGAGTTCTCGACGACAGATACCGAGACCAGCTCGGACACAACGTCGGCAAGTTCCGCGCAAAATAAAACAGAAACGTCCGCCTCGGATGAGATGAGTCTGATGTCTGGCTATCAGGAATTTATTGGCAGTTGTCTCTATCGAAAATTGCGGTTGGCAGACTCTATTGATATGCAACGAAAAGCACAGCAGGGCAACGAAAATCTGTCTGTCCTTGGTCCTGAGCACAAAATCATGGCTGCAGTCACATTTCGCATTCGATATCTTCAAAAAAGAAGGCGTGTAATACACATAATATTTCTGGCTGTTAGACATCGTTGGCGAAAGAATCGACTGGGGACCATGCTGATTAGTCTGTTAAAAGATACTCTTGTGGTCGGTCCATATGAGGCAATAGTGGTTCATGCAGATCTGGGCGCGAGAGCATTCTTTCGTCGTATCGGCTTCACGGAGAATTTGATCGTGAATCAACAATGGTCCGAAGTGGCGGATGAGTACACCAATTGTCGCTTGATGACATTTGTGCCGGGCGTGAGTCAACCGGCCCGACAGTTGGCTAAACCATTGCTCACGGGACAACTTGTGAATCAGGTCTGGTTGAAAAAAATTGATCAAGAACTAGATGCTTGTGTAAAGCAGACAGAACAGGCACACTGTGCAAATGTGTTCTGTTTGCGTAAAATGCGAGAGGAATTGATCAACCTGAGGCAGTCGATGTCGAGTCAGGTAAGTGATTTATTAGTTGTGTACTTGTATTTTCCATGTTTAACTGTCTCACCCACTTTTCACCATATTCTGTATCTTAATCCACCTATCCCCTTTCACTGTCATTGTTGTTGCGTTGGCACCATGCTTGTTTTCAAGCCGGTGGTAAATATATATATATGTGTACTGGTGAAGCAGATAAGAGCTATCTACCTTCACTGAGAATGCTTGTTTGGCCTGTTGAAAAATCGGCAGTGCTGGTCGACCAAATTTACTAGAACTCAAATCCAAATAAGAAAGGTTTACCGATCTCATCATCATTATCATCATTGTACGGCGTAATACAGTGAGATGAAATTCATTGATCGCTGCCAAGCCCATGATGAATACAAGCTAAGTGAGAATGTGTAAAAAGGATAGGGATAGAAAAAGCAAACCTCTATGGTCAACACTAAGAGTACACAGATCAACTGTGCATACACACTATTTCAGGCATTCTTGTATGATAAGAAGTGACAACACAATCGTCAATGCTGTCAGTTTGCTGCCATGACCTTCAGTGTCTTCAAACATGAGGTTACGGATCCTTTTGTACCACAACCCGGGAGACGAGAGACAACTACTCTACCCTAATCGGGCTGTGCATTACTTCATGTCTCGTCTCCACGTTGTTTATTGGCCTCCATGTAGTTTTCCGCAGTCTGCAACAACCACTGCTAATAAGGCGCGTTTCGGCAGGTGATAATCCGACATACTCAAAACGTGTCCTAATCAACGGAGCCTATTGGGATGAAT